CTTGGCGGCCTCCTGGGGAGACTCCGTGGCCATCTTGAGCCGTCTTGGAGCGGTCCTGGGGCCTCTTGGAGCATCTTGGGATCCACCTTGAGCCAGCTTGGGCTATCTTGAGCCATCTTGGAAGCCATCTTGGGCTCTCTGAGGCCGCCTCTTGGGTGCCTCTCGGGTGCCTCTTGGAGCCCTCTTGGGGCCTCCTGGGGCGCTCAGGAGCCCTCTTAGGGGGCCTCTTGGGAGCCCTGGAGGGCTTTGGGGAGCCATCTTGGAGGCGGTCGGTCAAAACAGGGGGGTGGGTACTAAATATAGTTCCTCCCCTCGGGGGGCACGATCCTCGTGAGGGGTGTCCAAAAAATTGCCTTCCCAGGGGCCGACGAAGGACCCTCTGACACATCGGTCCCCCTCCAAAAAACCTCAGTGAGGGGAGGGAGAGGGCACCCCTCCCCGAATGGAAGAAGGGTTGTGGAAGAGGAAAAAGACCCCTTTAGACCACCTGTCGCCCAAAGGGCTGGTGGGATTATACGTTGATTTACATAATCGTCATCAACAGCATAACATCAATCCTCGCCAACAACAACAACAACAACAACAACAACAACAACAACAACAACAATCATTTTACCCGAACGCTCAGTGTTCTCACCAGTGCCAGGGTTTTCATGCGACGCGAGACAATACCCCCACTTCGTGGGGGGGCAGTTCAAGCTCTACCAAATATCCAAACGACTCTTCGCGACCACCCAAACCCAGCTTCCCGCCCTATGACGTTGGGACACTTCACTTCGTGGCGTGCGGACGACCGTGGCTACTACACTGGCGTGGGGTACACACCCACAGAACTTGGTCACTTATTCGGGGCGCGCGTGTGCCCAGCATCCTGCAATTGTGACATACAATACATGACACAGACAGACAGAGAGAGAGACAGAGAGCAGACAGAGAGAGAGACAGAGAGAGCGGAGTTGGTCACATTTTTGGGGCAAGTTCCTGAGATCGTCGTGTTTTTTGTTGGTCTTGCGCGCGCGAATGTCCACTTTACTTTTTTTTGCAAGGGAGTATTGAAATTTGATTATGTTAGAACAAGAAAAAGTAGCTCGCGCGAGCTCATGTAACATAAATGTTGAAAAACCATTGGTTTTGTGGGAGTCGGACAGCGCGCGCGGGATGAAATTTGGACATTTTTTTTTGAAAAACCATTGGGTTTTTGATGTTTTTATGTTGAAATCGTTACGAAACCTAAGGTTCTGGAAGGATTTCGTCTTGCGCGCGCGAATGTCCACTTTACCTTATTTTTTGCAAGGGATTATTGAAATTTGATTATGTTAGAACAAGAAAAAGTAGCTCGCGCGAGCTCATGTAACATAAATGTTGAAAAACCATTGGTTTTGTGGGATTCGGACAGCGCGCGCGGAAGGACATTTTGACAATTTTTTCTTAAAAAACCATTGGGTTTTTGATGTTTTTATGTTAAAATCGTTACGAAACCTAAGGTTTTGGAAGGATTTCGTCTTGCGCGCACGAATGTCCACTTTACCTTATTTTTTGCAAGGGATTCTTGCAATTTGATCAAGTAAGAACAAGAATTTTCATTTTATAGTGTTTTTTGCAAGGGAAAACGGATTACAACAAAACAACCGGATCCGGTGACAATCCACTTTTCTGAAGCTTTCGCTAGAAAATGAAGGAAATGAGGCTGCGGCCTAGGTTTTGGAGGGGGGTCGCGCACCAGGGGTCTCAACAATAATATTTCTTTAGAAGTAATAATATTCAACAACAACAACAACAACAACAACAACAACAACAACAACCGCAATAGTAACAGTTCCAGAGTCAGCGTCACGAGTATGATCACGGTCGTACTCATCAGCATGACCTTCCCTGCCCTCTTCACACCAAACGTTTGGGAACACATGTTTTTGTCAACGTCACCGGCCAGAACATCACCGTCGTCATCACCATCCGTATCATCATCCCCATCCCGAGCAGACACGCGAGCAGCATCGTCAACGCCAACATCGACAGCATCATAATCATCCACAACACCGCGTACATCCTTACCAACACCATATCAATATTGCCTCCAATCAGATCCATCGCAACCAGCATCCTTACCACCTCGTTTTCCTCGTCTTTTCAAATCTTCAACGTCGTCGCCACAAAATCAACAGCGGTAGCTTTCTCATCCCCCTCACCCATCCTCCTTCCCCTTCTCCCTCTCCCGTGTCCCCCCCACCGTTCCCTCTGTCCCTCTTTCCTATATGTTCTCTACCCCCTCTCGTCCTTCTTTCCCCGGCCCCTCCTCTGCCCTCCGTGCCCGCGCGGAAGGTGGAGGGGGAGGGCCAAGGGGAGGGGGGAGGATGAGGAGGAACATGCAGGAAGGACGACAGTTACGGGTGGTACGGGCTGAAGTTAAAGATATGGCGGCAATCGTAATGTAAGAGATATCAAAGCGCACGCATGTTTACTCTTCATCGCGTGTTAGTCCAAGCGCACGATTGAGCCGCATGGAGGAGGCGGGCGCGAGCGCGAGTCCTGTGCGAGTCGGGGCTACTGGGCAATGGAGAATGTCCCTCCGCAGCAATTCGGCTACAGAGGGCCATCCGCAATGAGGCGCAAAAACAAACACCGCGCGGCCGTCGCAGTAAACGCCCAGCACATACACACACCAGGGCCCAGGAGCCCAGCCCGAAAAGGATGTCGAGAACCATGGGGAGCCCAACCAGCTCGTCAGTGGTCAACTTGTACGTGGGATGGACTGGCCATGACCACCCCACGGCATGGAGAGCCTAAAGACAGGCTTTTTACCAGATGTGGTGTCGACCAGTCGATGTTGCCTGACAGCCGAGAGCAAGGCGTTGCTCGTGGGCACCAGGCACTGATCGTGACCGGCGCGCGCTCAAGCCGCAGCGCTGATCGTGCCTTCGAGACAGGTCCGTTCCCTGGCTCTGCCTTCCGCCACTCGCCTCCGGCACTCTTTGGTGAGCAGGTGCCAGCGGGCGTAGCTGGCCGTTGTGGCGCTTGCGCGGCAGCGTGGCTGGAGAGCACCCGCGCGCCTTACTTCGTAGGCGCCCAGACGCAGCTCGTCCGATTGTTTGCGGCAGTGCTTCTTGCCGCTAGCGCTTGCCAGCCACTTCTGTCGACTGGTCCGTGCGTGGGTCCGGTGGCTGCCGAATGGCACTGACACCGCACGCGCTGCGAGTGGATGCGGCCAAAAGCAGCGCAGCGTCGCAGGTGCTTACCTCGGCTGTTTGCAGCTGCCCCGAAGTCAACAGCACAGCGTGGCTGGCATGCCAGGTTACCGCGATGTATACAGGCTCGTCTGTAAGGAAGCGTGGCCGGCAATGCAGCACTGACCGCTGTAGTGGCGCGATGTTGCGCTGGCACCTCGCAGCGCATACGCAGGCGGGGCCGAGTGGCCAAAGCTGGGCGCGCACACGTGACGCCTGTCGAGTACCTGATGCGCTGTGCCAGCCAGAGCTTCGCGACGAAGACGGCCATGTTGTTGCCCATGTCGCGCCAATCTACTGCGAGACAAAGAAACACTCGCAGTTGGCGGACTCTGGCCTGCCACTGATGACAAGGGGCGGCATCTCGATAGAGCTCTTGTCGAACCGAAGTCCGCGTGGAACGCGCGGTCGGGTCACCCACGCGGTGATCGTCGTGGGTCGGTCGCCAGCTGCCCTACAGCTGGCGCGCCAGACTCGGACATGCTCAAGCTCATCGGCACGCAGCTAGGGCTCCCAACTTCGCGCCCTCGCGCCGCCCCCCAGAGGGAGAAGAGGAGGACGAGGAGGAGGGGGAGAAGGAACGAGGACAGCGAAGCGCGAATTACTTCGCGCCCTCGTGGGAGCCCTTGACGCAGCAGTGGCCGACCAGACGCACAGGCACTCTCGCTGCACGGCGCCTCCAGGAGGACAGGGGGTGATGCGCCTGTCTTCCACCACCACCACCACCAGAAGTTGGAGGGGGAGGGGTCCTCTCCTCGTCCTCCACCTCCTCCTCCTCCTCCTCCTCCTCCTCCTCCACCTCCTCCTCCTCCTCGTCCTCCTCCTCCTCCTCGTCCTCCTCCTCTTCCTCCTCCTCGTCCTCGTCCTCCTCCTCCTCCTTCTCCTCCTCCACCTCCTCCTCCTCCTCCTCCTCCTCCTCCTCCTCCTCCGCCTCCTCCTGCGCCTCCTCCTCCTCCCCCTCCTCCTCCTCCTCCTCCTCCTCCTCCTCACCTCCTCCTCCTCCTCCTTCTCCTCCTCCTCCTCCTCCTCCTCTCTCCTCGTCCTCCTCCTCCTCCTCCTCCTCCCTCCTCCTCCTCCTCCTCCTCCTCTCCTCCGCCTCCTCCTCCTCGCCTCCTCCTCCTCCTCCTCCTCCTCCTCCTCCTCCGCCTCCTCCTCCTCCGCCTCCTTCTCCTCTATGCGTGATACGATTCGATAGCTGCTAGAGTGTAAGGCCCACCTTTCTCTGGAAGAGGTGCCGCCCGAGAAAACGTTTCTTCGCCGTGGGAACTTCCAGACTGACCAAGCGGCCAAGGCAGGTTCTCGACTCCATCCCACGGCTGAGCCTAATCAAGAAGAGGCTCTCGAGAATGCTATCATCATTGCACGCGCGGTGTGCAAGTTAGCAGCAGGTCTTTTGTTCAGGTGGCCTCGTTTGCAGTTATCAAAGGTCACGTGGACCAAACCCAGACCTCAAGCCGAGGCAAAGGCCGCGAAGCGTCACGATTGGATGCTCACTCGCGATCGATGGCGGCGTGGTGAATGTTTGAAGACCTCTCGGTCTCAGCTCCGCTCGACCCATGGATCCTGCCCTGGGGACCGTCTGGAGTTCGACATTGTTGAGATGGAGCGTCTGGGCCATTTTGTGGTCGAGCTGCCGGTTTCTGACGGCACGACGCTCTATATGTGTACACATTGTGCGTCCCTTGTGGGTACGGGCTCGGGCAAAAAGTCAAAACCTGCTTGTAAGGTGTGTGAATTCAAAGCGCCCACAGAAGCAGAGTCTGTGGAAGAGAGCGTTGAAAGGGTCTTGCCCCAAGTACGGGTCCTCATGAAGTGTGGACCCTGACGGGGCAGCCGACCTCTCTCAATCGTCCAGCCTCGCTGGTGGCAGCTGTGGATGTTGAAAAATCCTCCTCCTCCGCCTCCTCCTCCTCCACCTACACCTCCTCCTCCTCCTCCTCCTCCTCCTCCTCCTCCTCCTCCTCCTCCTCCTCCTCCTCCTCCTCCTCCTCCTCCTCCTCCTACTCCTCCTCATGCTCCTTATCCTCCTCCTCCTCCTCCTCCCTCCTCCTCCTCCTCCTCCTCCTCCGCCTCCTCCTCCTCCTCCTCCTCCGCCTCCTCCTCATGCTCCTTCTTGTGGGGGGGGGGGGGGGCTGCCCGCCGAGAGGAGTACTAGCTTCGGCTCCTTTTGCCCGCGCCCCGTGCGCCCCTCGCAGCAATCGAGCCCCCATGAGATGCGGGCAGCCAGCGGCACGGGTGGGGAGGGGGACGGGACGGGACTGAAGGGGCCCCAGGACACACAAATAAATACAGACGAATAACAGGATTCCCCATAGTTTCCCAGATGTTCTAGGTTTTTGCCTTCCCCACCACTTCCCATAGCCATAGTTTCCATATTTTCCTGGGAATCGACGATTCATTGTGTCTGTGTTTTTTCCCTCCTGAAGGACATCCGCATAAGGGTCAACGTCGACACCTACAAAGCAGATGTGAGTGCGACTGGCAAAAAGCCCCTGCGATTGGGTGTTGCCGAAGCCCCAGGCTTCTCCTGGGGCAGGCAGGGGGCCTGCCCCGAAGTTCAAGGGGGCGCGCCGCGAGGTGGCCCCGCAGGAGAGGCGGGGGGGAGGAGCAGGGGGAGGAGGACACAGGTGGATCGCACGGCCTTTGGGGCGGCTGGCCCCTGCCCAGGCATCAGTGGAATGTGCTGGCTGGTTCTTCCGAGTCGTCGCATCGCCGCCCTCTTTCTTTCCCCCCATCTCGCGTCCACGACTTCTGCGGTTCCGAGGCTTTGCCTCCTCCCGGCCTCGTTCTGAGGCTGCGCCCCCCTTCTCCTCCCCCTTCTCTGCGTAACTCAAGCTCTGCGCGGCCCGCTTAGCTTCGACCGGAAGAGGTGCGCTCTCGACCCGCGAATCAAAAAAAAGCGTTCACGATTTCTGCTGGGGGCACGGCCCCCCGTTACGTCCTGCGGTGTTCACCCGTGCTGGGATGCTTTCCCGTCGTCCTTGACCTCTCACGCCAGGGGCCGCCCAATCGTGCATCGACCCTGCGCCTTGTGGATTTGACTTCCTTTTTGCGCTTATCCTTGACTCTCGGTATGCGACACTTCATGCGTCGACCCGATCGCTGGAGCTCTGGACCCACATGCGTTGACCCCTCATGCTGGGCTTTCGCCGCGCCTCATCAAACCCCAAAGCCCTCATCGAACCCCTTATGCTGGGGTTGTGGCCCCTCCTGCTACAGACTCGAGATTCGGCTCCGAACGCGGCGACAGTCACCCTGGGTCTACGACCTTCTAGGCGTTGACGCCATCGCTGGAGAGTTGGGTCCACATGCATTGACCCCTCATGCAGGGCGCACCCCTTATCTGAAGGGGAACTGGGACACACAAATAAATACACACAAACAAAAAGATTCCCCATATTTTCCCATATTTTCCGGGTTTTTGTCTTCCCCCCCACTTCCCATATTTTCCCATATTTTCTGGGGAATCGAGGATTAATTGTGTCTGTGTGTTTCTTTTCCTCCTGATTATCACTCGACCCCGTGCGCTGCCCTCTCACGCTGGGACTTTGGCTCTTCAGCTGTTGACCCATCACGCCGGGGCCGCCCCCTCGGACGTTGCCCCCCCGCGCCGTGGATTTGCCACATTAGTTGATGCGTCGACCCCTCCCTCTCGAACGAAGGATTGCAAAAAAAAACAGGATTGCAAAAAAAAACATGGGATGCAATTGGTCTTCGGATGTTATTGGGTTTTTTGCAATCCTTCGTTTTTTGCAATCCTTTGTTCCCTCATGGGATGCAATTGGTCTTCGGATGTTGTTCCCGTTCCCTGCTTGCCTCCACCGTCTGCTGCCCCATCCACCTTCGCCACGCTGCAACACTGGTGTGCTTTGACCCCTCGCTTGGGGACCCACTCCCTCGTGTAGGACATCTCACGCGCTGCCCTGTCATTCTGGGTCTACGACCCGCCACGCGCTGACTCCATCGCTGAGGCCTTGACTCCCTGCTGCCTTGACGCGGGCCCTCATGCGTTGATCCCTGATGCGAGAACTACGTCTTGTCATACAGTGACCCCCTTCATGTTTGTGTTTGGACCCACCACGCGTTGATCCCTTGAGATTGGGGCGGCGCCCTCACATTCGCAGATGCCCTCAAAGGCTGTTTAATCCGACAGTCTCATCCTCCTCCTCGACGACGACGACCCACGACGACACCGTCCCTGGCCCCGGGAACTCGACCGAGGGCAGATCGCCGGGCTGGGCGGCGTACCTGCGCCGGTGGCGGGAGGGGCCCTCTCTCGGGGGGTGGGCGCGGGGGGCGGAGGCGCGCAGGCGGGCCCGAGCTTCGGGGGGGTGAATGGCTTACTGGGCAGGGGAGCCTGGGCTGGGAGGGCCACCAGCCACCATCAGCCACCAGCCATCCGCCATTCCGACACTTGTGGGAAGAGTGCCCGTTCTATGCCAACGAGAGGCGAGTCATCACTCACAAGTTCGCCCTCAACGACCTGTTCTGGACCAGTGTTCCCAAAGTTACGGCCAAGGGGGGATGGATCTGTCTTACTCAGGCCCCTACGTTGCAAGCACGTGCTACGATGATGGGGCATCCTGCGAGATGGCCTTGAAGATCATGCAGCTCAGTCCCCTCGAGCGCCTTCAGCCGTTGGATTGAGGTTACTCTTATGGGTTTACATCATAGTTCAATGTGACCCATTCATCCTCTTCTTCATCATCAAAGTCGTCACCACTATCAGAATCACCAACGTCATCATCATCATCATCATCATCATCATCATCATCATCATCATCATCATCATCACCATCATCATCACCACCACCACCACCATCATTACCATCATCAGCTTCTTCATCATCATCATCATCATCATCATCATCATCATCATCAGCATCATCATCATCTTCATCATCATCATCATCATCATCAGCATCATCATCATCATCATCATCATTATCATCAGCATCATCATCTTCATCATCATCAGCATCATCACCATCACCATCATCATCATCATCATCATCATCATCACCATCATCATTATCATCAGCATCATCATCTTCATCATCAGCAGCATCATCACCATCAGCATGGTCATTACCATTGTCGTCATCATCATCAGCATCATCATCATTGGAATCAGCATCAACAGAATCATCATCAGCATCAGCATCACCACCACCACCACCACCACCACCATCATCATCATCATCATCATCATCATCATCATCATCATCATCATCTGAATCATCATCATCAGCAGCATCATCATCGTCGCATTGGTATCATCCTTAAAAGCATCATCATCATCATCAGCATCATCATCATCATCGTAAGCATTAGCACCGGCATCGGCATCAGCATCCGCATCATGATCATCATGGTCATTATCACAATCATCATCAGCATAATCAGCATCATCATCTCCATGAACATCATCATTATCACACTCGGCGGCATCATCATCCTCGCCGTCATCGTCCTACTCGTCAACAGTACCACCCTCATCTTCGTCATCCTCATCATCAACATCACCATCGTCGTCACAATCCTCATCACCATCACCATCACCATCATCATCACCATCATCATCATCTTCATCATGTTAAGAAGAAGTGTTTTCACTAGCATTATCATCATCATCATCATCATCATCATCATCATCATCATCATCAGCATCGCCATCGTCAGTATCAGCATTCTCATCATCATCGGCACAGTCAACATCAGCAGCATCATCATCATCACCAGCGGTATCATTGTCATAAGCATCACAAGCATCGCAAACATCGTCCTCAACATCATCATAAACAAAAACAACAACAACATCATCATCATCATCGTCATCATCACGGTCATCATCATCACCGTCGTCATCATCATCGTCAGCATCATTATCGTCATCGTCATCGTCGTCGTCGTTGACATCGTCGTCGTGTTTGTCATCGTCGTCGCCACCACCGTCACCACCATCATCACCACCACCATCTGGCCATCACCATCACCGTCGTAATTGGCATCACCATCACTACCTTCACAACGATCACCACTGCCTTCATCATCCCCATCACTCGCACGTTTACTTACGCCAACACTTCCGCCACCCTCCCGCTTACAGAGGCCCCCTGGGGCAGGGCAGGGTTTGGAATCCCGAGGGCGCCAAGGAAGAGGGGGGACATGGTGGTGGGACGATGGCATGGGCGATCTGAAGGACAGGAGGAAGGAGGCGAGAGAAAGGGTGAGGTAAAGGGGGAGGAGGAGGCAGGAGCGATGGAGACAGTAGGCAAGGAGGAAGGTGGAAAGAGGGGAAGGAGGGAACGGCGACGAGAGACTCAGAGGGAGAAAAGTGGGTGGGGGTGATGCCGGGGCGGACACAGAAATGTGTATACGTATACAGGTTTCGGTGTCCCCCCTACGTCTTGTCGATGAAGGGCTGGATATGCGCGATGCACGTCGGGCCCAGACGCAAGATCCAACTTCCCCACTCCACCCAAAACTGGCGAGCACCCACTTCCAGCAACGCAGCGAGATCGCACAAAGGCACCGAGGAAGTCGTGGAGAGCTTCTCCCCCGGGCAGCGGGCGACGGGCCCCGGCTCGGCGTAGCCTGGCAAATTGCGGCACAACTCACGACGGATGCTGAATGCCGGCTGCCCGGGCCGCAGACTGGCCTCTCGGGGCCGACCCCGGGGCCGGAGAAAAGTGGGTTCAACGCACGCAGCCTTGGCAACCCCGGCGAGGAGGGGGGGGGGAGGTGGAAGAGGAGGAGCAGGGGAGAGGAACGGGAGGAGGGAGGAGGGAGGAGAGGGCCAGGAGGAGGGCGAGGAGCGAGCGGGCGGGGAGGGAACACGTGCGCTGGGGGGGCGCACTTCGCGCGAGGCATCGGCACGGGCTCGGACTTGCTCTTCAGCTTGTCGGAGGCGGGGTCGGGCACGTGCGATCGGAACTCCTCCTCCGCACCTCGCCGGAACGGGGGGGGGGAAGAAGGTCCAAAGTCGAGGAGAGGGAGGGATCGAGGATCAACGATGGGGGGGGGAGGACGAGGGATCGCGGGTGAAAGATCGAGGAGGAGGAGGAGGAGGAGGAGGAGGAGGAGGAGGAGGGAGGAGGAGGAGGAGAGGGAGGAGGAGAGGAGGAGGGAGGAGGGGAGGAGGAGGAGGAGGAGGGATCGAGGATGAAAGGGGAGGGGGGATTGCAGGATCCAGGCTCTAGGATCCAGGGGCGAATCGAGGATCGAGGACCGAGGTTCTTCCTGGTTGCGGGCCCACTGCGGTTGCCCCGGGAGACCTCTAGGGGGCCTCCAGGATGGGGAGCGTGGGGGGGGGGGGGAAGGGGCAAGGAGGGGGGAGGAGGGGGGCAGAGAGAGAGAGAGATATATATATATATATATATAACAAAAAGAAAAAAGTGCAGAGATGCTAACAGCGGCAGAACAAACTGCGCCCCAGCTGTGAAGGGAAAGGAAGAGAGTGGCCGCGGAGGAGGGCAAAGGAGGGCGCCGCGCTCAGAGCATGAAAACAGGCAGACTGACAGACTGACAGACGGACAGGCAGGCAGGCAGGCAGGCAGGCAGGCAGACAGACAGACAGACTGGCAGGCTTCTGCGAAGAAGAGTGCGCTTATCGACCCCCCACAGACCGCGGGCAATCTGCTCCAAGCAACTGCACCCAGCGAGGACACGGGAAACAATTTAAACCAACCTGAAGAGCGCCTGCGCCCCCCGAGTCACGGAAACGGCCCCGGCGCCGACCCCGCAGGTGCCATGGCGCCTGAGCCGCGAGCGAGAGAACGGGGAGGAGGGGTGACCGACCCCGAGGCTGAAGTGAATATGGGGGGTGGACTGGCTCTGGAGGCAGGAGGAGGAGGAGGAGGAGGAGGAGGAGGAGGAGGAGGAGGAGGAGGAGGAGCTGCAGGCTGAGGAGGGGGGGAGGGGGGAACACCGAGAGGGAATCGGTGACACGTCGCCGATGGGCACCCGATGGCGACACCGCACGTCCCCGAGCGGGGTGAGCGGTCGGGCCTCTATCGGCGATCAGTGTGCAATTTGGGGGCCGATGCATCCCCACTTGAGCCTGACCCCCCCCCCCAACGTTGCCCGTGAGAGGCATGGCTGGGGGGGAGGGGGTCTTCCACCAGCCCAGAGAGGATGAAGGAACCGCACCCGCCCCGCGAGAACGAGGCACGCGGCAGGGCGGACCGTCTGGCGGAGACGGCGACGAAGGCATTCCGAAGGCAGAGCCTGCAGAGGCGCTCTACGCCACGCGCCATTGATGCCCGCCGGCGCCCCTGGGGGGCACACCGATGCTGCGAGAGTTCTGCTGGGCTGCTGTGATTTAGTGTTTGTGCTGTCGTCTGCAGTGTCGACACATGGCCGCAAGAGCCTGGGTCGAAGACATGGGTCCTTGAATGTTCCACCGTGGAGATTCTCCAAATAGGCTTGCCCTATGAGAGTCCTAGCTCATCATAAGCAGTTGGTCTTTAGGACCCCCCCTTTTTCCAATGGCACCCCTCCTTATTTCCAATGGCACCCCTCCCTCTCCTCCCGTCCTCTCCTCCCGTCCTCTCCTCCTCTCCTCCTTATTTCCAAATGGCTTCCTCTCCTCCCGTCCTCTCCTCCTCTTCTCCTTCTCTCGCTCTTCTCCTCTCCAGCTATCTATTTGGAGTCAACGCTGGCTGAGATGCTCCTATCGAAGAGCATTCAAGGTAAGCGGCCCAAACACGAAGAACGCGAGGGCATTCTTCCAAAACGAGGGTTGCTCTTAAGCCGCGTGCCAGCTGCACGATGTCTCCGAATGGGCCCGCGGAGCCAAACGAAACACCCAGCGGGATCGACCCGCTGTCCGCTCTAGGTTGCCGCAGGCTTCCCATACAGACGCCGCCACACAGCTAGGAAGCCCAAGGGGCCACGAAGAGGGCCCCAAGAGCGGAAGACAGCCGACGAAGGCGACGAGATGCCCTAAAAATGGCCTAGGAGAAGACGCCCCCTCTCCCCCTCCCCCCCCTCCTCCCCCAGCGTCCTCCCTCTCTCCCTTCTCCCTCCCTTTCTCCACCCACCCTTCTTCCTGCTCCTCCTCCTCCTCCCTCCTCCTCCTCCTCCTGCTCCTCCTCCTCCGTCATCCCTTCCCCTGTCGCCGCGCCCCCCCCCTGGGCGATTCGCCATGAAATTGACCACTGCTTCACAGATGGAGGGCGGGTCGTTTTCAACATGCTGCTCTCCCCTTAGCGCGCGCACGTTCGTCTTAAGAGCGCGCATCAGCTTAGGGATAGACGGCGGGTCCGCTTCAAAAGGTGGTTCTCGCCTGAGCGCCGCGCACGGCCGATTTGAAAGTTTGCAAGAAGTTCAAGGATTGAGGGCAGATCCTTTAGAAATTATGGTTTTCGCCTTAGCGTTAGATCGGGAATGCCCCCCTACAGGGCGAATATTTTAAACATTGTCAAACATGATACTGGAGAAAACCCAATCTGAACTTATTTAGGGCTATAGGTCTATGGGGCTATAGGGCTATAGGGCTCTAGGGCCGTAGGTCTATTGGGCTCTAAGGCTACAGGGCTATGGAGCTATAGGGCTATGGAGCTATAGAGCTGTAGGGGCTATACAGCTAATAGGGCTATAGGGCAATAGGGCTACAGGGCTATGGGGCTATAGGGCTATAAGGCTATAAGGCTGTAGGGCTATAGGGCTGTAGGGCTATATGGCTATACGGGGTATAAAGTTATTAGGGCTATAGGGCTAGAGGGCTATGGGGCTATAGGGCTAGAAGGCTACAGGGCTATAAGGCTATACAGCAATAAAGCTATAAAGCTTTTGGGCTATAGGGCTACCGGGCACCTGGGCACCCGGGCACCTGGGCACCCGGGCACCTGGGCTGGCCATCGAAATCGGCGGCACACCTCACCTAACTATATGAATCCGCTAGGGACCCCTACAGAGGCAAACTCAGATTGCGGAAATACCCCCAACAATATCAAAATAGTCACAAAAAACTGCAAAACGTCCCCAGACTATTTGTTACTCTGTTAGAATATTCCTCCTGTAGAGTGGCAGGCCCGACTAAACGTTAGCGCCGCGCACATTCGTCGCGCGCAGGTTCGCAACAGTTTCAAGGATGAGGAGCGGGTCCTGCTGAAAACGTGGCTCCCGCCTGAGCGCCGCGCACACTCACCTTGAAAGCCTGCAACAGCTTCAAAGGTTCGTATAGCTGAGGTCCCAGAAAGGGTGTTGTCACACGATCTGGAATCATCAGGACGCAACGGTCACGTTGATTCGCGGTGCTGAAGTCCCAGGATTGGTGTTTTGGCACGACTGGGGATTGTCAGGACGCAGCAGTCACGTTGATTCGCGGCGCTGAAGTCCAAGGAATCGCGTTTGGGCGCGATTGAATATCCTCAGACGGTTATTTTCCTATGGGAACTTCCCGCAACGAAAATACTTCCTGGTAGGAACCCATCAGGAGGGAACTTGCAACATCGTTGATGCGCCTTGGTCTTGCACTCCTCCTCCTCCTCCTCCTCCTCCTCCTCCTCCTCCTCCTCCTCCTCCTCTCCTCCTCCTCCTCCTCCTCCTCCTCCTCCTCCTCCTCCTCCTCCTCCTCCTCCTCCTCCTCCTCCTCCTCCTCCTCCTCCTCCTCCTCCTCCTCCCCCTCGCGCTCATTCCCCTCCCTCTCATGCCCCCTCCCCATCCTCCAATTCTCCTCTCCGAAGACAACCAGCGCAACGCGGCCCCTCTTCGACGCCCCCGATCCTATCCCCGGACTCCGCGCGGACCTCCGAAACTCTATGTCTGTTCTGCTGTGTTCTTCTTCCACCCTCGTCCGACCCGACCCTACTCCTGAGGGGGAACGATACGGGGACATCGAGCTAAATCGGCGAGGCATCGCCGATGGATCGGCGAAAGACCCCCGATGGCGGATCCAAACGCTCCTGGGCGGGATGGGCTACCAGGGCCCTACAGTGAAAAACCCCAATAAGGACGCGCGACTTTGCTCAGGGTGCCCTTGCGTCCTTGCTCTTCCTTGCTCTTGCGTCCTTGAGGTTTTCGTCGTCCGCCGCCCCAAAAATCGCAACTTCGGCTTCCAAAGTTCTGAGCCGCCTCGTGCTCGGCCTCGGGCTGCTGGCAGAAGCGCAGCCCCGCGAGCGAATGCGCTCGGCGAGGCGCCGAGGGGGAAAAGCAGGGGGGGGGCGGGAGAGACCTCGAAGACTTCCGCGAAAACTTCCGACAAGGCCTCGAGCCTCGAACCCGCAACGTCCTCGGGGATCTTCTGACCCGGGTCAATCCAGACCCGGGTCAGTCAGGCCCTGCAGAGTCCTGCAAATCCTGCAAGGGTCCTGCACCTGCACCCAGGTCAACGCGAAGGATCCTGCACGATCCTGCAGGATCCTGCACCCACACCCGGGTCAATGCGACCCTGTCCCTGCAGGATCCTGCAAGATCCGGCGCTCTGGCTGACCCCCGTTTGCATTGACCCCCGTCTCAAGTGACCATGATGGAAATCACCGCCTCCGCAAGTTCACATAAAACATCCAGGACGGGCGAGATTCCGCATTTGTGGGGCAGCGTTTCCCACTTGCGCTCATGGCCCAGTCGGCACTGCGCGCAGCTCAAGCAATTACCCACGCCAGTACTTCAAAACTTACCCTGGCGATGCACCCTGAAAGCAGCAAAAGGTGTCACCCATCGGGAGCCTTGACACGGCTCCCGACGTCCCCGAGGCCCTCCCCCTCCGGGCGGGCGGCGACGCCGGCGGGCCCGCGCCTGTCGAGGCCTCGCTGCCAGAGAGCCCGGGGGCGCCCTGGGCGCGGGACACGGCACGCGGGCGGCAGCGAGCCCCTGCCATGCTCCTGCGAAGTGTGCGGCAAGAGGCGAAGGAGGGAGGAGGAGAAGGAGGAGGAGGAGGAGGGAGGAGGAGGAGGAGGAGGGAGGAGGAGGAGGAGGAGGAGGAGGAGGAGGAGGAGGAGGAGGGGAGGAGGAGGAGGGAGGAGGAGGAGGAGGAGGAGGAGGAGGAGGAGGAGGAGGAGGAGGAGGAGGAGGAGGAGGAGGGGGGGTGACTGCATGCCAGACCACCCCAACCCAACCCGAAGGCCCGAATTTCGGGTTGGGGAGGAAGTACGGGCTTTGTACATATGTGTTTTTCACAGGTCCCCCGACGCCCCCGCACTGGAAATGGAGGGCAAATCGGGGCCTTCGGGATGGGTTGGGGTGGCTTGGTGGGCGGTGAGGGGGAGGCGGGAGGGCGGGAGGCGGATGCGTCGAACATAGAATGCGCCGCGCGAATCCCGCCGAGGGGGAGGAGGCGTGCAGTACGGGCGCGGCCGCAGGAAACCCTCGCCAGAAACCCAACCCTGAGAATCCGCGCGCGAGGTGTTCCCGAGGGGGGACCTGCAGCACCCTGAACGCAGCAGCTCCTTCCACGGCCGCGGGAAGTCGCCGCGCAGCGCGAGGAGCAGAGAAACCCAGGATACCCTGACGAAAAGCATATGGTTTCTTGATGCGCGCCCCCACTGTACATCCTGCCAGGCTGAAAAGGGGCTAGGCCGAGCGGGGGTGGCGCGGTGACGACGGCGGCGGATGGGGCTGCAGGAATCGGCAGGGGGGACAAACGCAGAAGGCGAGCGACACCCGATCAACCAACGTGCCCGCCACGCAGCCAACCACCCAAACAACAAACCCAAGCAAACAGTCAAAAAGTCACGGCGCTGTCGCTGGAGACTTATTCGCGCCGCGGGCGCCACGAAAGGGGGGCAAGGCGTGCATAGGAGCGGGCCTGATGAGGGGAGGGCGGGGAAGGGAAGAATCTGGAAATTCACGAACAACTGAAAATGCCCCCCCCCGAAAGGCAGGGGCGCTGTGCAAGGCCTACCCGCCCCTGTCGGCCGCTGGAGCCCAGATCGGACGCGCGAGGATGCAAGCACGGAATGCCATCCAACGCACGTCCGCAAACAGAAAGCGAAGCGGGGCGAGGGAGCGGGCCATATACGAACGACGCGCAGGAAGGGAGGGAAGGAAGGGGAAGGAACACACTACAACGCACCACCACGCGGCTGCAGCGCAGCGCGAGCTGGAAGAACGCCCCATGCACCGCACAGCACAGACTAACCCGCCACAGGCGAGGCCTGGCGGGCGAAACGTTGCCAACTGCACCGCGCCCCGAAAACCACAAACGGCCAGCCAAATCCAGAGGCGGAGGAACAACAAAGAACAAATGCGGAAAATGGGTACCCGAACAACAAGCGGGAGAGCGCCAAAGGGGGGGGGGGGAGGGACAGAGTCGGAGAGGGGAAGAAGTGCGCAAGTCAGACCCCAGCCCGCGTGCAGGCGGCACCCTTGTCGCAAGAGCGCGGGGCACGGCGATGGGGGCGGCAGCTGCGCGTGGACTGCGGCGTGCGCGCGGGGCGCGGGAGCCGCAGGCGCCACATGGGCCGTGTGATCCGCATGGGATGCGGGGGCGGGGGGGGGGCGCACGGGACTGGCGAGGCCGCATGGGCCGCGCGAAGCACACGGGCGCCCCCCTGCAGAGGCCTGGACGAGACACACGGGCAGCGCGAAGCGCACGGGCCGCAGGCGATGTGGGAACCACATGGCCGCCTGTGCTGCCGAGGCCGCCAAAAGTAGACGACCCGCGTGGTGTTTGATCCTGCGCGCCGCCAGACAGACCCTGCACGAACACAGCAGGGCTCGTGAGCACCCTTCAGCGCTGTGAGCACCACATCGTTTGCCCACTCGGGGAACCGGCCACCGTTGCCAAGCATTCGAGCGAGTGCCGCGCCGACCAGACCAGCCAACCACCCAACCTTCAAACACAACAATATCGCTTGAGACGCGGGCGCGAGATTTGACGGACAGCACGCGCACAGTGCAACTGTATTCTTTCACGCGACAGCGACGGGGGCAGAGCCCAGGCGACCAACCAATCCAATCACACAGCCCAACGTCTCGGCGCTGTCGCTTGCGGTTTCCTCGCAACCCGGGCGCCAAGGCAGGAGACAACGCGTGTATCCAATGATGTTGAATGGCAATGCAAAAGTGATGAGGATGGAAAGCGGGAAACGGAAGAATCAGGAAGAGGAGGACTAGCAACAATACCTCCCCCCGAAAAGCTGGGTTGCAGTGTCAGGCCTCTCGCCCCCATCGGCCGCCGAAGCCTCCCGTTCCCATTGCTCGGACACCTCCAAACTGGGTTCGGAGCGCTTTCGGCGCCACCGCGGGGGAGGCGGAGAGAAGAGAAAAAAGGGGGTGCAATCCCACACCCATCCGTTGACAAAAAGCGGGGGGGGGGGGGAAGACGGGGCAGAAAGGAAGGGCGCAAAGAGGCTTATGGAAGGAATGCGCTGCAACGCATCTGTGCACGGCTGCAACACAACGCGAACACGAGCAACGCAAAATGCGTCTGGAACGCAACACTGACCAACCCATCGCAAACGAGGCCTGGCGGAAGAAACGTTGCTAACTGCAGCGCGCCTTGAAGCCCAACTGGCCAGTCAAATCCGCGCGACATCAAAAAGACTGAGAAACAAGAAAGAACAAAAAGGGGAAAAGGAGGACCCGAGCGACGAGGGGGAGAGAGCAAGAGAGAGGCTGGAGGGAGAGAGTCAAAAGGAGATGGAATGCACAGGCCCAACGTTCGCGGAGGTAGAACCTCTCAAGAGCGAAATGCCCTCGAACTGGGCATCAACGGGTAAATGTCGCACCTGGTTCTGCATCACAGTGATCACACGGCCCTGAAAAGAGACAAATCTACCTCTCAAAAGCCACCGTTCCGCGTTAGATCTCCACGACTTGGGCACTAACACGCAGGCGTTCTGCCCCCATGGCGGCTAAATAAACGCTTGCGTTGTGGTGCCCAAGCCGTATATGTTATACGTCGTCGCGGCGACTGCGCGGTTTTGAAAAGAGACGCGTCGACATTCCTGAAATCAGCGTTTTACTCGAGATGGTCCCGCGCGCACGCGTCCGTGATGTACCCCCTGGCGCCTCCCCCGTGTGGCGCCCAAATGTGATGACTGCTACACCGCGATTGCCACGGCGTATATTTTTTGTTTTTGTTTGTATCTATGTATATATACATATATATATATATATATATATATATATATATATATATATATATATCCATGTTCACGTTCTGCTAACGCGCCAGAGAGAGCATCTCACCGAGGCTCGAAGACTGTAAAACTATTCACCGCCAGAGGCACAGATCTTGCCGTGGCAGGAGGCTGGTAGCCCAACTGCTACCCTGGCCCGGCGGGCGTGGACGGGGACCCGAAGTCATCCCGCCGACGCCACCAGGCAAGGGCAGCAGGGGGCAACCAACCACCAAGGGCCACAAAAGAGCACCCCAAGAAAGGGTGGAGTGGGTGGGGCGCAAAAACAAGTCGGACTACGGACACAGAATCAACAGAATTACAATTCACCCGATGACTGTGCGAACCACGGCGCTCCCGCCGAACATACATGGATTATCCCGCAAGCTAAGGAACATCCATATTCACGTTCTGCTAACGCGCCAGAGAGAGCATCTCACCGAGGCTCGAAGACTGTAAAACTATTCACCGCCAGAGGCACAGATCTTGCCGTGGCAGGAGGCTGGTAGCCCAACTGCTACCCTGGCCCGGCGGGCGTGGACGGGGACCCGAAGTCATCCCGCCGACGCCACCAGGCAAGGGCAGCAGGGGGCAACCAACCACCAAGGGCCACAAAAGAGCACCCACACCCGCACCAGAGTAGCGCTCTGGCCGAAGGCTTAAGAGGAGGAGCCTCCGGCGCTGATGAAGTGAGACATCATCAGTGAAGCAACGGCACGAGTGAGCTGACGAGGATAAGGCTGAGCGCGGAGGGTCCAGAAGGTTCCAGTTGGGTCCTTGCCCCGAAGCACGACGTGGGGCTTTCCAGTCCTGGAACACACACCGCGGCCAGTGCAAGTTTTCCCAACGGCCGAAAGGTGAGAGCAAGACAGGAGGAGCAGACGGGTGGGCTTAACCCAAAGCTCTCCATACTGACAGAAATGAAGCACCGTGAACTTAGTGTCATGAGATGACCGAAATTCTAGCATCTGAGGCATGTCCCATAAAAAACTCGTGTTAGGGTTTTCCAACACCGCTGGGACGTCGTGAGCTGCCGCACATCGCATTAGCATTAGCGAGGCCTCTAAAAGACGGTTCCCGTTCTCGACCTTGGCGAGGTCGGGGGGAGAAAGCTCGGGGCGGCCTTCCAGGTGCCAGGGGCCCCGAAGAGGCCCAGGGCCGCGACCGTCGTTTTTACGGGCCCGAGAAAAAGAACTGCAAGGCGTGCCCAACCAGAGGAAAAGACACCTACCAGAGGCGATGTACGACAGCACGCAGCGCAGAACGTCCTCGCCCAGCAAGTCGCCAGCGGGGCCGCGTTCGATGTCCCAGGTCAGCGCCGCGAGGCCCAGCTCCGCGAAGGACTTGGCCAGCCTACCGCTGCCTGCGAAGACCTCAATCACAAACCCGCCCGTGAGAGACCGAGGCAGGCTCTTGGCGGCCGAAGGGCAGGCAGCCATCCGCCGTGAAGGACGAGCGAAAGGTTGGCCACCGCCTCCTGGCACCAGCGGTTGGACACGGGCGTCATACCTTTGTGAAGCAGTTGCCCCCTGCCCGCCTTCATGCAGCGAAGCCAAGTGCGATCGTTCGTCCAGCGCCCCCGCTGGTCGACCGCCTGGAACTCCCTCGTATACATCAGGAAGTCCCTCGACGCCCCTCCGTGGCGAAGCGGAAGCATCTCGATGTTCAGCGAGTCCAGGCCCGCTGCGCGGCAAGCCGCCTGAAAGCGGCG